TGCGTCGCAGAACATATTCAAAAATCGCCAAAACGGAGCGAGCTCACGACAAGGTTGTAGTCGGAGTCTGTTCCGTTCTGGAGATGACATCAGTTTTAGTTAACTCTCACTCAAACTGCGTTGCCGAGTATCCATATAATAGGCATTTTCAATGTAGAACTTACCTGCATGATTTCCGAAGGAAAAATTACTGGTTCTTTTGTTTTTGGCCAGTGTTTCAATCGAATTCATATTAGAATTTAAAGAGTATTTCCATAAATCTCAAACTTGAGAATTTTTAGTCTATTCCCAGTCTAGTCGCCTTTTTCCAGCGCGCGCTCATCAAAACGGTTCGTGGTGGATACTGTTTTTTTTTTCTTCTTTCCTCTTGGTTTTTATGTTAAATGCATAAAAAATATGTAATATAATAAATTTGCATTTTTTGTTGTTGTTACAGGGACAAAGAAGATGGAATACAAAACTCGCCAGTGGCACGAGAAATGCTTCAGCTGTGTAGTCTGCAAGACCCCGATTGGCACGAAGAGCTTTATCCCTCGCGAACAGGAGATCTTTTGCGCCGGCTGCTATGAAGAGAAATTCGCAACTCGATGTGTCAAGTGCACCAAGGTGAGCCGGTCATCTCTCTTCGTCCCTTAAAAAAGAAGTTTTCTCTATTAATTAACACTTCTGCTTTTATAAGCGTAAATCTGTTACGTTATGGTGTTTACATCTATTGAAAATGTCTGAGTAGAGGCATTGAAATGAATGAAAAATTAGGGTGCCAGACACCTACATATACGAATAGTGGCAAATAAAACTTGCCTTTAATTCAGGAGTTATATGGCAATCTCATCGTCATCGTGCTAAAGATCGTCAGTGTTTAATATCCAAAAAATACTCACCCTCTTACTTCAAAACATGCAATAGTTCGCAATGAATATCCTCGTCACTGATGTTACAAAGGTCTTTAGCTCCCGATATATTCTCATTTTTCCGATTCTTAGGGATTTTGCCCACACTCTGTCTGAAATGAAACCATCCTGAGGATTTATTTCTGTCTGTATCTTTGATTGATGGCCTGATTTAATCAAATTGATTCACGGCGATTGAGAATAGAGTTGAGCGGATAGTAATGTATCGCAGATAATCAAATTAAACGCAACAGACAGAGCTCGAAACATCAATTTGAAAGGCTGTCGTCAACAACCAGAAATATGCTGCACAAGGCTTAGAGGTACCTCAGTTCGTAGAACATACATTTTTTCAGATATCAGGATTTTATACTTCTTTTAAAGGCTTGGGGACATTTTCATCATACTTTGCAAACAGACCGAGGTTAAGCCGTACCATACGATCGCAAAAATCAGTAACGTGGTTAATCAACGCTGCAGCGATTTATGTAATTGTGTTTTTGCGTTGTAGATCATCACAAGTGGAGGTGTGACATACAAGAACGAGCCATGGCATAGGGAGTGTTTCGTGTGCACCCATTGCAGCACCTCTTTAGCCGGACAACGGTTCACCTCCCGTGACGACAAGCCCTACTGTGCCGACTGCTTCG